CAAACCCAGAGTCACTGCCCCTGGGAACCTTGAACAACACCAACACCTTCCCCAGCAGTTGCTCCCCCTCCACCTTCGAGAACACAAATGAGAAACAGGGCTTCCCATGGAAGCTTGGTGCGGCCCTCACCCAGGCACTGGAGTGTGAGTTATTGTCTGACTCGGTAGAGTATGATACAGCAACTGCTGAGTGAACCTACAGACAAGGGTGTATGGGGGTGAGGAATCCAATTTAGCCAAGAAACATAGGGCATGATCCGGCGTTGTGCAGTGCAATAACCACATGCTCAACTGCTACACCCTACGTTTGCATCATACCCGAATCGTTTGGTTTGTTAGACCAGCCCGCCTTACAGCCGGTGCGAAATGCTCGTTCAAATGCCGGCCATGGGTCCAGCGGCCGGCGTACATCTGGCGCTTCGATCGGCATAGGAGAGCTAGCAAGTGTCATCACGGGCAGGCCCGTGAGCATCGTCTACATGCCATGGTACATTGGGTAAGTCAACACAGAACACACGTGCTGTCATAAAGCCAAAAAAAAAACTAAAACCCACACGTCTGGGAAACCCTCGCATGAGGGTTTGCCTGCATGAGTATACTAATACCTGAGCCATGGGACTCGTGTAGTTGCGGCTACACTGCATTGTAATAAGAAGTAACCGCATTGCCCGGCGGATATCATCCGCGCTGATGATAGCGTGCGCAATCTGGCGTCGGTTCGATGACCGGTAAGGACGCTTGACCAGCCCCACATGGCTGTGCTCAAAAAGGTTGGTAGAGTACTCCTCTGGTACCCCTCGTGTTTCAATGGCATATGGCAAATGGGTGAGCGCGTGAACCTTCACCAGCTTCCAGCTCGAAGCTTGCATGGGAAATTCGCGTTTCAAAAGCGCCATCAAACTGACACAGTCACATGACATGATCATGAATTACATTCCACTCCTCACCCCCCGTAAGGGTTACATTATTAGCAGCAGGGTACATTTACAAGCCTCAGACTACATTAAACCACTCACTTTTGTTTCTGCCTGATGACATCTTTGATGGTGGCCTTGGTGTGCTCGGGCGCCCGGAAGCAGGCCGAATACCATTTTAAGAAGCACATTATCACATCCAGCTATGCGGATGTGAGAATACCGTCGAAAATGAAAACCGACACCTGCATATTGCACGGTGCTCAGCAGCTGCGTAGTTGGCACCACCACGGAAGTATCTGCCCGGTTTAGGCAGTTTGATGCCGGCGGCCCGTGCGAGTTGGTTTAGTATTTCGTGCCGCCTGACAGAACGCATGACATACTACAGTCAGATAGAGTCTAGGGGAAGACAAACATGCTGCACCTCATGCTGGTACCCACCAGTCCATAACAACCAGAACGCCAAAGGAATTTGTCTCCCGAATTTGCTCCAGTATGTGTTTCCACAGTCCGATGTCTACCACGTGTAACACATTGGGCATAATACACCCATACGGGTTTCCCCAAGTGGTCCACGCGAAGTTCCACTTCTACAAAAAACACTGCACATAAGATGTACCTGTGTCAGCAACTTAGCATCTAGCTGGCAACCTAGAACCCCGAATTAGCAAGCAATCATACGCACCTCCATCCTGTGGGTCCCGAGGGCCTTGCACTCCTTGTTGGGCAATGCCTTTCTCTGCCCATCCGGCGTTCGAGTCTCAAACAAGCTGTCCATTGCGTCAAGGTACTCTTGCGGTACCTTACACATTGAACATGACTTGGCTGCCCGATGCTGCGTAGTGCCGGTAACTTTGCAACCCTCCGGGAAATCACAAACATAGGCATATAGCAGCGGGTATACAATGCGGCTCACTCCAAGTGGATTCTTCATTGGTGCCCCCCTGGATCGCATATATAAACATGGCTGTCAGTGGGTTGACAGACGAACACAAGTCGCGGAGTTAACCGCAACCTTATGCTTTACCTCCATGTCAAAACACTTTTCTTACGGGTATGAGGCGTCGATCATAGGTTCAAACACGATCTCGAGGCATTTGTAGAACAACCGTGTCTTCACCACGGGGGATAGATCCACGTCAGGCAGCGGTAATAATGCTACCAGCTGCCGAGCGTGTTCTTTCCATCGCCGCTCACGTGGTATGTTGGCGATGGAGATTTGCAACGGCCAGACTTTCTGCCGTCCGTTGTGACTCAGGTGGGTGACGTCGCTGCTGGCGATGAGGGCGGCGACTACACCCTCCTTGTTAGCCAGCTTTCGCTGTGATGGCGTGCATGAATACAGTGAGCATCTCGAGAGCAGATGGAATGCAGTGAGTGTCAATGCACACGCGTACGATAAATGAAGCATTTGCACACCTGTGCACGGGACCACCAGCGTCTTGTTTCAGGCCACGAGTAGATTCGCTTCCCAGTAGCATTGAATTGTCGGTTTGGCCTCAACTGGAAATTGGCCGCGTTCTTTGGATCCTCAAAAATCGTGCGAAGCGCCTGCGCATGTATACATGGCGTGTCAATACGATTTGGTCAACATGTAACTCGCCAAATGAGCCGAGATGCATCGAGTGATTGGCACATAACACACGTACCTCGAGCGTGTCGCAATACTCTATCTCCACAGGCTCCGCCATCCCTTCCACCTGCACCATCGTTTTCTTCCAGGTAACGTGATGGCGCCCCAATACTCTCTCCGCGTACTTATCCACATCCCGAGTACCCTTCCAGTCAGCGATCTCCGATGCCATGAATTGCGGATGGTTTATCAACTTGAAGAAGGCCTTATTTTCATCGCGCGTCATTCCTGCACCATTCATGAAGGACTTGACAAACCTAGACACCTCCCTGCATGTGTCGAAATCGTTAGCGATTCTTTCAGCAATAGCAGCGGCTTCGGCACGGTCGATCGCAGGGTTCGGCAGACTTGCAGGCGGAGGACATGTAGCAGGTTGGCTTTGACTCGGGCCATTGGTAACAGCTTCAGTCGAGTCGACGGTCCCACCGCGATCTGCATGCCTTGTTTGTGAAGGAGCAGGGATCGGCGATCTCGGCTCACGCAGTGGAAGAGAGTATTCGCATGCCACCTGCCGACACATATGTAGACAGAAGGCAATGCTGTTACCAAATGGGTGATTGCACTTTCCGCAATACACCACTCCCGCTAGCAGTACAGGGAGGATGAAAGAGAATAGAAGCATGGCGACGACACTGCCTCCATACATTTGTCGCGGCGAACATCTAACGTTGCGGTGCATTGTATAAACGCCGATGTGATCCGCTATATATGACTACTACTACGTGAGTGATGGCTCCCGCGCGCTGCTCGACCTGGATGATCATTCTAGGGTTGGTATAGCAATCAGTCACAGCGGGTTCCCAAGATGAGATTGAGTGGCAATCCCAGGGGTTGTCTATTGATCATAGCATACGAGCAACTACCCACGCATGCCATGTACTGCAATAAAAATGAGCTCCTAAACAAGGTGGTTTTCCTTGCACCATTTGCAAGGCAGCACAAGCTCTGTACACCTCATGAGCGCGTCAAAACGATCGTACGTGCAGTGCACGTCCCCCTATCCGATAACAGCTCCAGCCCCGCTTGCATAAAGAGGACCAACGGCAATACCAACTTTTACACGTTACGGCGTGTATCGTGACAGGTTGGATGACGGAAATATGTCTAGACCCAACTTAAAATGGATTGGACACATATGCGTACGTACCTTTGCATCGTCGACGCCGACATCCTTCGAACACGGTGTCATCGGGCGATTCGTGGCGACACTTATTAGGTGACGCGACTGCCTCTCGGGCACGCTTGGGTGGTGCAGAATCTTCGACCACGTGCCTCGAGGGGCGACGCAGATGAGCCTGCGGACAACTAACCGTGTTGGGCGCTAGCTCCGTAGCCAACGTGGCTGAAATTCTCCTGCGACGCGGAACTCCATGCAGGCCGAAGCACGCGAAAAAAGGGTCCTCGCTCTCTGGTGAAGCCCATCGAGTCTCGTCGTTATTGTCAGTCGCCTCATCGTTAGCAGCAACAGCATCTGCGACGAGTTGTGAGTCCTCTACAACTTCGGGCTTGACGTGAGGTGGGCGGGAACCCATGGCTAGAATACGAGGAGATGAAGAGTTCAAAAACTCGAGCACAGGTATTGTGTCTGAAATGTCGGGTGATGCACTGCCTAATATGCCCTGCTGTGAATGTTTCTTCGCACTAAGGGGGGTGAGACATAGCGGTACGTTGATGGTTGGATTTACAACCGTGGATTCTCCTAAGCGTTGTTCGCATCCGTCGATAAGATAGATTGATCTTGATTGCATTTATCCTCGATCCTCGCTGCTCCTATCAACGGCTCTAGTTTATCCTAGAGATTGCATAAATGTGATTGGTCCTCCCGCAAAATGACTACAGTGGTGTTTCTGAGGCCGTATATCTACTCAGAAGCCGTCATTGATAGGTATGTTTCTGCGCCATGTTGGCGAAACCGAAGCGTCTCCACATACACCGCGGTTAAGCGTACCGTAACGTACTGCACCGTGAACAGTGATGGGTTGTTGCTCGAAACCCTAGCCTCCGAAAACAACTCGTAGCTGCAAAGCACAGCTCCGTGCACAGTGATGGGCGAACGGGTGATGTGCAGAAATTGGAATGGCCCAACACCTTGGCTATTCGCGGAAAAACGCTCCGAAACGTACTTCACCGTATTGTAACAACCCAAACGCATTCACACCTCGTGATGTTCCAACACCTCCCAATACTTGGCCACACACAGCCCCAACTAACTATAGGACCGCCTAGCGTTCGCGATACAAACACGCAGGCTGTTTTTGCGCAGACAGTGCAATCTATCCACTCGACCGTAACATCAGGTTCCAACTTCCCGCCACACTCAGCCTGTTGACGGTGACGCGACCGCAGGACCATCGGGAAAGCGACCCCGTCTGCCAAACACACAGTTCCCACTATCCGAATGGGAAAGTAGCCTCGCGCGTGGTGCTCGACAAGGTCGTGCAGGGGACACCGGCATGAGAACGCTTAACATTACGGAGCGAGAGCATGCCGAATGGATGCAGTTCGTCTCCAGGCGCTCGACAAGGAATGGCAATCAGCACGAGGCTGACCTTGACGACGAGTATGGTAGGTTATGTCATTGTACGCTTGTGCGTTCCACATACTCGCTCATGAGGGGACATATCGTACACGTTGCAAATGACATCGAGCACGACGACGACGAGGATGCTGCCAACGGCACGGCTGGAGGGGGTAGTGGGGCAACTACGATCACGAAAGAGCCACACGCGAGGGCGAAGCTGGGCGTCGTGCGGAAGGGTATGTTCGCAAAGTCTGTCTTTGCTTCTTGGGACATAGCCAACGTATTGAGTACACGCGCATCAGGTACTAACATGCGGTGGTTTCGTGAAACAGGGAAAGGAAAGAAAGTCGCGATTGGTGTCCCGGTGCAGAAAGGGTTCTCCCAGCAGTCCGTGCGTCAGCAAGGCGCGAACAATGAGAGGGCTTCAGGTATGCCGTGTTCTCTCGGTATTTATGTCTGTGCATCGCGTGTTTGTTGACCACGATATGGACGCTTGACTAAAGCCTGCATGACTGGGTCCATTGCAGGGCGTGTCGGTGACGTTAACCGTGGCAAAGGGGCGTATGATGATGGCGCGCCTGAGACCCCAAGGTCTCTGCATGACTACGGTTGGGAGGCTGCCGTGGACGATGGTATCAGCGACGCTGTGAGGGCGCTACAAGCACAGTTTGGAGACATGAAGCGCGCTCTGCAGGACTCCAACGAAGCCATCAAGGGCCTCAACACGCTGGTGCAGCAGAGCTTGGACTTAAAGCGGGAGATGGCCGTCACGCTCCATGCGCTGCAAGCCTCCGTACTTCCCAATGCCCCTGTTGCACCGTACAATGGGAGTGGTCGCAGCGCTTTTGGTGGCTCAGGTTCGGGCTCAAATGACACAGAAGAGGCGTCGCACGAGCTTGAGCTGAAGCGTGCGATGGCATCAATCATGGAGCCTGCCAAACTATCTGTAAGAAGGACGAAGTTTCAGGCAAATGGTTGATGTTGGACTTGCTGTAGCAATGCTCTCTTGATGTTCCCCCATTCAAAATTGCTGTATCTGGCAGTTCACTGACCTTGCCCCACCTTCTTTCCCTCTCATACTGCTTGTTTCCCACGTGTAGCCTCGGTACATGGCAGTGTACCTGAAGTGCATCACCGAAGGTGACGGCACCGACGACAAGGGCCTCTCCATGTGGCCTGCCCACACAGTGGTGGTGCAGTGGAGCGCGGCTACTAGCGCGATCCGGGAGGGGCAGAAGGAGAAGCTCTTGTACTGCCTCAACCATTCAGCGGAGCACATCGCCATATGGAATGCAGTCGCTGCGCGCATGCGCGGAGGCAGCACACGAATGGGCAAGACGGTTCTGTATCGCTTCCTGGGCATTCCGCGCCACGTCGCGGATATGCCCAAGAAGGTCCCCTGGAGGGTCATCATCTGTACCGTGTACAGGATTCCCCGTACGGCATACGAGGCATATCCGATTGGTATGTTTTCAACTATTGCAGACGATACCAGCCTATACGCTTGTTCTCGACGAACCCAAGGCGGTTTGCTTCCCCATGGATAAACATGAAGCCATTCCCCACCACCGTCCTCCCTCCTTCCGGGCCAGTACTCGATGCCATGGCTCTGCAACGAGGACGGCCTACCGTTCAGCACACCCGAGTTTGAGATCTTCATTGCTGCAGCATACTGGCGCCTCCTGTCACGCAAGGTGCTGCGTATCCACCCGTACACGCTGGTGTTCGCCTTTTATGGGGTGAGTGGGGCCCATGGGTCATGTGGCGCAATTCTCTGTGATGGTATTCCATGATTCTATGCCCCCATTTTCCCGCTATATATGGCAGGCGGAGTACCCCGTCGTGCACCACGCTTGCAACAGGGCCGATCTGCCCACCACGGACACCCCTAACATCCATAACACGAACCGGATGCGCGCCATTGTTGTCAACTGGCTGCGCGATTTGATTGTGAGTACCCACGGCACTCCCCAGGCGCCACGATATGACCCCGAGGAGGTGCTGATTGTCTTCCCTCCTCCACAGGAGGCCATGGCAGTGCCCACCGAGATCGTGGGCCCTGAGATGAGCGACAGCGATGAAGAGATCCCCATTGCTCCAACTGCCCCTACTCAGGCCTGAATATGGGGTGTGCTGTAAAAGGGAGATGCTGTGAAAGAAGGCTGTGATGAGTGCAAGCCAGTAAACAGTCAGCCATTGTAAATAGCAGTTCTTGTAAGGGCTGTGGTCTTTTTTGGGGCGTCCTCTTTTTGCTGGGTAATTTTCTGTGTACCTTTGATAATTAATAAATAGCTGATCACACAAAAACCTTTTGTACTCAACGCTTGACACACCATCTAGACCCTATCTCCCTCAGTTAACGGTAACCCTGTTAACTATGTTACATAGTAACGCAGACAACCATGTTACGGTTATCTCCAGGTAACCGAGTAACATTGTAACTATGCTACGCATCCTAGTAACCGTGAAACCGAGTAATCTCATGTAACTGTTACAGCAAGAGGCTATTTTTCCAGTCAAACACTAAAAACCCCTTAGTACGTAGATTGTATTCATTGAGAAGGTAATTTGTACAGTACAATAATGTACAGATGTAGTACCGAGCTCGCTGTAACTTGTTCCCGGGTATTGCAGTATGGGCTATGCATATACAGTGTCGCAACTATCCCAAGGGGAAGTAGGCGCCGACCACATGCACAGCTCCGACCTGATTGCCGCGATGGGAGTAGAGGGTTAGTAGAAAAACCTGTACTTACAATGACCTCGAAAGTCAAGCATGTGCAAACGACCCCCTAACTAAACGCAGTGGATTCTTTGTCGATTCGCTGCAATGTTTTGGGATGAGGGGGCGGACAGAGCGCAAGGAGAAGCTAGACCCGTGCGGAACGAACGAGTAGTCGGTGCGGATTGGGCAATACAATGTAACCTTCTTTATGTTGCGACGTTCGTATCCCACTCGATGAGGTCAGCCAATGCATCTGGGCTATGCACCACATCCAATGCGGCTGTCTGACGTTGACGCGGAGGTGATGTGTCACTGACTCAAAGCAGAACGGCTGAAGAAAGTCTCGTTTCTCTCCTTCCTTGCATGTTGATCAGGTGAGGCACTCGGCACAACTTTCGCGAAACATATATCAGTGTGCGATTCTCGTCCCAAATAGCACTGCCTCTGCGAAGTGTTGGGCAAAGTGATGCTTTCTTTTGATTGGTCAATACTCCAGCTCCGCTCGCAAAAAAAGGTTACCAGTGGCTGAAGAGTCGACTGCCCTTGTTACCACAAAGGTCCCCTGTCCTCCTAGCCTAGGGCCATGTAAAATAAAGAATAAAGAATAAAGATAGGGCCAAAAATATCAGGGTAAAATATTCTTCTGCCCTTTTTGTAGGCCATTTTTTGGGTTGCGTACCAACCTTATACATTCGTTTTCACTTTCCGGTTGACTGGCATGAACGGTGATCTTCCTCCAAAAAAAAAGTAAGAAATTCACTCTTCATGTAAGATCCCCGAAATTTGGAAACAAATGTGTCCAATCATTCCATTATCGTCGATAAGTATGACGAATGGAACATGTGGACAATCACTTCGTACAAATGATATAACGACAAGAAAACACACAAGCATAGGTAAATTTGTAAAGAATAAGGAACATAACATGCAAATTGCACCGGAAAAAAAAAAAGAAACACACACACACACGCACGCACGAAGGGACAACGCAGACAACCATGTTACGGTTATCTCTGTCAAATTATATATTTCATATTATTTAGTTCTAGGTTGTGTAGGGGTGATTCTTAGAGGGTACAACAATTCTCTCGATACTCTTGTACCCCCCTCCCCTAACCTAATCGACATACTTTCCTCTCTAGTCTTGACATGGTATAGAGCAGGAAGTTTCCTAGGGCCCACCACGGAAAACGAATTTTTTTTTTCCTGCCCGGAGCGCGCTTCGCGCCTACCCTAGTCGCGCCCCGTACGACTGCTCCTTTGCAGACGCTCCACTTGGACGTGTGGGGCCCAGCCCGCGTCCGTGGACAGGGTCAGGAGAGGTACTTCCTGATTGTTGTTGACGACTTCTCGCGCTACACCACGGTCTTCCCCTTGCGCGCCAAGGGTGACGTCCCTGATGTCTTGATCCCTTGGATCCGCAGATCTCGTCTCCAGCTCAGCAAGCGTTTCCACTCCGACTTTCCTGTCCTGCGTCTGCACTTTGACAGAGGTGGGGAGTTTTCCTCCGGCCTCTTGGAGGCCTTCTGTCAGCAGGAGGGCATTGAGCAGTCGTTCACGCTTCCGGCCTCTCCACAGCAGAATGGGGTTGCTGAGCGCCGCATTGGCTTGGTCATGGAGGTCGCTCGTACCTCCTTGGTTCATGCGGCTGCCCCCCATTTTCTGTGGCCGTTTGCAGTCCGATACGCTGCGCATCAGCTCAACCTCTGGCCCCGAGTCTCCCTCCCGGAGACTTCTCCGACCCTGCGTTGGACGGGAGAGGCTGGCGATGCGTCGCGTTTTCGGGTCTGGGGATCCCAAGCTTTTGTTCGCGACACGTCCGCGGACAAGCTCTCCCGTCGCGCTGTCCCCTGTGTCTTCCTTGGCTTTGTCCCGGACGCCCCTGGTTGGCAGTTCTACCACGCCACCTCGCGTCGTGTCCTGGCCTCTCAGGACGTCACTTTTGACGAGTCCGTCCCCTACTACCGCCTCTTCCCCTACCGCACTGCCCCGCTCCCCCCCCGCCTCTCTTCCTCGCTCCAGGTGCTGAGGTACCAGACCCCCTCCCCCCTCAGGGTGCCGCTCCCTCAGGTGTGTCCCAGGTAGACCCGGGTGAGCCTGTCGAGGTAGCTGTCGACTCTCGTCCTGCTAGGGGTGCTGAGCCTGGGGGTGCTGAGCCTGGGGGTGCTGCGTCTGGGGGTGCTGAGTCTGGGGGTGCTGAGTCTGGAGGTGCGGAGCCTGGGGGTGCTGAGCCTGGAGGTGCGGAGCCTGGAGGTGCTGAGCCTGGGGGTGCTGAGTCTGGGGGTGCTGAGTCTGGGGGTGCTGAGCCTAAGCGTGCTACACCAGGAGGAGCCCTCTCCTCCCGGCAGCTGCAGGAGAGGTACCTACAGTACTGCCGCCTCCGGAGAGGTGCTACTGGAGCTCGTACCAGTACTTCCCCTCCTGCCCAGGAGCTCCCCCCCATTCAGCAGATCCGAGAGTGGTACACGCGGCGCTGCAGTCTTCGGAGTGGTGCTCCTGGTGCTGCGGACCCTGGGGGTGGCGCTGCTACTGGTGCTGAGGACCCGGGCGTTGGAGCTGCTGCTGGTGCTGAGGACCCGAGCGGTGGAGCTGCTGCTGGTGCTGCGGACCCGAGCGGTGGCGCTGCTGCTGGTGCTGAGGACCCGGGCGTTGGAGCTGCTGCTGGAGCTGAGGACCCGGACGGTGGAGCTGCTGCTGGTGCTGAGGACCCGAGCGGTGGAGCTGCTGCTGGTGCTGAGGACCCAGACGTTGGAGCTGCTGCTGGTGCTGAGGACCCTGCCGCTGGTGTCTCTGCTGGTTCTGGAGACGTTGCGCGGCCGCGACCGTACTTCGTACCACTTCTTCAGCAGGTTCTTGGTCAGGCTCCTCCTCCTTGTCCTCCTCCCTCCGTAGAGTGTCCTCCGCCTGTCCAGTCGCAGTCACAGTTACCGCCTGCCTCGCCTCTCCCTTGTCCCTCTCCTTACACTGGTCCCACAGGAGGTCTTGCAGAGCGTCGTGAGCCTGCGTCTCGTCCTGCATCGCCTGTTCGTACTGCTCGCACTGGTCGTCGTGTCCCACGTGAGCGTCCTCCTCCTGTCCCTGGCACTCACTACATGACTCTGCGTCCCTCCACTGCTCCTCAGCGTGTCCCGCTGCCGTCTCCTCCTGCGTCCTCTCTGCCTACTCTTCCTGACCCGGAGTCTGACGCCCGTCGTGCTGCCAGTCCCACTGTCACCCGTCTTCTCGCCACTGTTGTCACTGACCCTACCTTTGAGTTCTCTGCTGCGTCTGCTCTGGTCGCTGAGTTGATAGACTTTGCTGCCCGGTGTCGTCTAGACTACGCCGCTAGCCTTGTTGCTGAGTCTGAGTCTGAGTCTGTCTGTCCTCCGTCCGTCGGGGGTGTGTGTGCTCTTGGCACGGACGTCCTTGAGGACAGATAGGAGGAGTTCCAGTGCTTTGCTGCTTCTTTGCCCCATCTCGTGTCCATGCTAGTTGCCCCTGAGGGAGACCCGGATGCACCAGACATCCCGACCCCGCGCACTTACGCTGAGGCGATGGCGGGTCCCTACTCCTCTCAGTGGCAGACAGCCATGGACGCAGAGATGGCTTCCTGGAAGTCCACAGGCACCTACGTCGACGAGGTTCCCCCACCTGGGGCGAACATCGTCAATGGCATGTGGATTTTCAGGGTGAAGCGGCCACCGGGTTCTCCTCCTGTCTTCAAGGCGCGCTACGTTGCTCGAGGCTTCAGTCAGTGAGAGGGAGTTGACTTCTTCCAGACCTTCTCCCCCACCCCGAAGATGACCACTCTTCGGGTGCTGCTGCACATAGCCGCTCACCGCGACTACGAGCTTCACTCACTTGACTTCAGCACTGCTTTCTTGCAGGGCAGCCTGCACGAGGAGATCTGGCTGCGCCGCCCTCCTGGCTTCACTGGGTCGGTTCCTCCTGGTACCCAGTGGAGGCTCCAGCGGCCGGTCTACGGTCTCCGCCAGGCACCGCGTGAGTGGCACGACACACTGAGGACGACACTTGCGGCTCTTGGGTTCGCTCCCTCTACTGCTAACCCGTCACTGTTTCTACGCACAGACACCTCGCTGCCGCCGTTCTACATCCTCGTGTACGTCGACGACTTGGTCTTTGCCACTGCTGACACCGCGGCACTCGCCCACGTGAAGTCGGAGCTGCAGAGGAGACACACGTGCACAGACCTGGGTGAACTGACGAGCTATCTTGGCTTGCGGATCACCCGGGACAGAGCACGGCGCACCATCACCTTGACTCAGTCACACATGGTGCAGCAGATCCTCCAGCGCTTCCGCTTCACGTACTCCTCGCCTCAGTCCACTCCTCTGCCTACCGGTCACTCGCTCTCAGCTCTGCCTTCGGATGAGTCCGTAGAGCCGAGTGGCCCGTA